CAAATAACCTGAACTCTTTGAGCCTCAGTTGTCCCATCTGTAAAATGGGGGAAGTAGTACCCATTCATAGGTTTGCTGTGAGGATGAAGTGAGCTAATATACACAGTAAGTGGTTTCATAATTAGGTGGTGGTCAGAGTTCAAAAGACCGAACCAGCTCATTGCAGCCAGGTGTGCTTACACATATTTGGGGGGAGGGAAGGGGCATTCTGTTTTGCCTGCCTGCTCTAATGGAAACACACCTTCCATTGCTAGGGGACACCCCCTTCCAGTGCTGGCTCTGTAGCGCCAAGTTCAAAATCAGCTCAGACTTGAAAAGGCACATGATCGTGCATTCGGGGGAGAAGCCTTTCAAGTGTGAGTTCTGCGATGTGCGCTGCACCATGAAGGCCAACCTCAAGTCACACATCCGCATCAAGCACACCTTCAAGTGTCTGCACTGTGCCTTCCAGGGCCAGGACCGGGCCGACCTCCTAGAGCACAGCCGGCTGCATCAGGCTGACCACCCCGAGAAGTGTCCCGAGTGCAGCTACTCCTGCTCCAGTGCGGCTGCCCTGCGTGTGCACAGTCGGGTCCACTGCAAGGACCGTCCCTTCAAGTGCGACTTCTGCAGCTTTGACACGAAGCGGCCCAGCAGCCTAGCCAAGCACATTGACAAGGTGCACAGGGACGAGGCCAAGACAGAGAACCAGGCCCCACCGGGCAAGGAAGGGCCCAGCTCCCAGCACGTGGCCAAGATAGTGACCCAGAGGGCCTTCCGCTGTGAGACCTGTGGGGCCTCCTTCGTCAGGGACGACTCTCTGAGATGCCATAAGAAGCAGCACAGTGACCAAATTGAGCACAAGAATTCGGACTTGGTCACCTTCCCTCCCGAAAGCAGTGCCTCGGGGCAGCTCGGTCCCCTGGTCTCTGCTGGGCAGCTCGAGGATCCCCTGGAACCCAACCAAGACCTCTAGCTCTACCAGGAAGGGTTGCCAGCTGTCAGGAGCTCAGGCAAGTGCTGTCGCCCAGCCCTCCAAGGTGAGGCTGTCAAACTGGATTCTGGGCACTGGTTCCAGGGCTGGCTGCTCCAACCCTGCAGGCCTCCAGAGGCACCGGCTGACACAGCCAGGGCATGAGGACAGACGCCAGAGCAATGCAGTGGAGACACTTCTCCATGTTGCTATCTTCCCTGCAAGAAATATCTAAGCAATTGACTTGGTTGCTCAAAGGTGAGGTCCGCTAAGCGCTGCCCTATCCAGTGCAGACAGCCACTTCTCAGTGGATTCCAATTTTAAAACTGATCCATCACTGATGGAATGATTAAACTACTTAGACGACATAGACAACTAAAACTAAACTGACCTCTCTAGTGGGACAGGTTAAAATGAGGATGGGGGGGGCTAGAGAAGTTCTGTTTCTTAATCTGGGTAGTCATTATAAGAGTGTTCACCCTGTACATCTGTGTGGTTTTTTATCTGTTGTCTTGCAATAAAAAGGCAAACTCACCTGTAGAATGGTGTAAAAGGACACAGGTTTCCTTCTCATTCCTCTGTAGACAGGTTATGGTAGGGGGTTCTCCATCCCCTCCATGCCGCTCTCACACACAGTAACAACTACAAATGCAGGTAGGATTTCTCAATGAGTTAGTACCACAGTGACGCAAGATGCACTGTGATCTGGAGGTGGCGCCAAAGTTCAAGCTAACACCAGCCCAGCCCGTAAATAGGTGCTGTGGAGCTGGAAATTCACACACCTGTATTCCTAAAGAAAAGTCTTGGGCCCAGAGGGCCCAGGTCTCGGTTCTGGGATGTGCAACGTGTGAAACGGCCTGAAACCAGCATCTTTTTTTATCCCAGACAGTATCAAGTGTTTGTTGAACCAACAAGTAAAAATACGACCTTCTCACAAACAGACATTTTACTTGACAGAAACTTAGGAGGCAGTGTAATCCCAGTGGGTATGTAATGTACCCCCAGTTGCTTTGTTCTGCTTTAGAATCTTTTCTTTGAATACCGACTTTATCTACTAGAAGTCCTTGTGTGTCCTCAAGTGAAACTTCTATGCTTTTAAAACAGATCCGTCATTCATGGTAAACTAGGAAAAATGATGTGAAAACACTTTTATAGTTTGGATACAGGGGAAGAGTTCACTGAAATAGCTGGAGGTATATAGCTTATTTTGTTACGACAGTAGTTTGAACAAATCTCACTCCGTTTAAGTTTTACATTGGGAGGAAAGAAAATACTGGTGAATCTGTATTGTAAGAAGAAACGGTGATAGCAGAGATCTGTGATAGCGTTAATCATTTCTTTGCTTTGGAACTATTGTTTTTTTATCAGAAGAATGTTTGGTTACTGAATGCTGGTGCTGTTGTTCAGATTCTATTGTTACATTTCTGCTGTTGGTCATGCGTCTTATCTACATTTCTGTTCTAGAAAGAAAAGGGTTGTTGACCTTTCAAGTGGGAAGCCATAGATGGAAATCATCACATAAATGTCCCTTGTACTTCTGGTGTTATAGATCTTCAGATAAACAGGAAAGATAGCCTTTCTAGAAGTCATTTTTTTGTGAACAGCTGTGTGGACTTTGAAGGGTCTTAGATCCAGCCTGGTGTCACCTAGCAAATTTGGATTCCCAGTAGGGCAGAGGTGAGTAAAAGGTTTTAGGCCAGATACTAAATATTTTAGGCACGGGGAACACATAAAGTCTCTTTTCCGAAGACTCAGCTCTGGCTTTAGCACAAAAGCAACCATAGACCATGAGAAAAAGAACGAACAAGTCTGTGTTTCAATAAAATTTTACAAAAATAGGTGGCAGGCTGGATTTGGCCCATGGTCCATAATGTCAACCCCTGCTGTAGAGCATTTTGATCTGAATTGGCAAATGTGACTTTTACAACCCATTAAAAGGACCAACTTTCTGACTGAGACATTAAGATTTGCACAAAGCTGAGAATATAGTTCAGGAGATTAAGGCTGAGCTATTGAGGGTTGTTAAAAATGAAAATGTAAAAGAATTTTGAGACTGAGAACTCAGGATTCAGAGAAAGGTGGGTTATGAGAGAAACCTAGGAGTAGGAAACTTCCAGGAGTAGGGGTGGTTTTATCCCTTTTTTACTGGCAAGGAAATTAGAAGGTGGCAGGGGGTGAGGTTAAATAAAATCATTCAGTAACTAGGGGGTGAACTGGCTAAACCCGCTAGGAAGAGACTTCAGCATCCATTTGTAGGGTCGATCTGGAAGAAGAAAATATGGCAAGGAAATTAGAAGGTGGCAGGGGGTGAGGTTAAATAAAATCATTCAGTAACTAGGGGTTGAACTGGCTAAACCCGCTAGGAAGAGACTTCAGCATCCATTTGTAGGGTCGATCTGGAAGAAGAAAATGTTTGTAGCTTGACTTCACCTGGACCAGGCGTCAGCAAACTTTTTTGGTAAAGTGTGGATAGTAAATATTTTGGGCTTTGCTGGCCCTACTTCCTGTAAACTATGCAGCTCTGTCATGTGTGGTGTAGCACGACTACTCCACCCTGCTGTTGCAACTAAAGCAGCGTAGAGGATAGGTAAGGGAATGGGTCTAGCAGTGTGCCAATAAAAATTTATAAAGAGCAAGCTATGATTTAAAGGGCCCTAGTTCGCTGACTCCTGAGTACAGACAGTGGCATAATGGTCACAGGTAAAAGGTGGGGGAGACAGGTTAGGAAGACCAGATTTCTTGTGGCCGCTTTAACAAAGGTGTTGCTTCATACCCCAGACAGGTAAGTTCCATGTTAAGCATTGGGAGAAACTGGATTCTTTATTCAGATCAGCTGTAAAATCCCCAGTGAAGTGTCCAGAAATCAAGGTGACATCCTCTTGCTCCTCTTAGTTTCTTGCTACTTACTAGATTCTATAGAGCATGAAATTTTTCTGTTCCTGTATCTAATTTCTTCCAAGAAAAAGGATAAGCTTCAATTCTGTCATCATGACTAGGTGACACGCAGGTCCTAACTTTGAGCCAGGCACTGTACTAAGAACTTTACCTGTATGCTATCCAGAGCTGGGACTAAGATGAGTCAGGCCCTCACCTTGGGCACAAGACTTAATGGATCCACCAACAATTCAGTCACCAAGATATATCTTTTTTAGCAACTGGCTATATGGGGATCCAAACCCTTGACCTTGGTATAACACTGCGCTCTAACCAACTGAGCTAACCAGCCAGCCCCTACTAAGAAATTTTAATGCAATTAAAAAAAAAAAAAAGGGGCCGGCCCGGTGGCACACTGCTTCAGTGCGCCGCTTGGGAAGCGCGGCGGCGCTCCTGCCGAGGGTTTGGATCCCGCATGCGGGCCGGCCGCTCGCTGGCTGAGCGAGGTGCGGGGGCAACACCGA